GCCGGAGCTGCTTGGTCGTGCCCAGGAACCGGAGCCGCCCCGGCGCCACCCTCTCCGAGGGGCTCCTCTTGCCTCCGGCCGGGGCCGGAGCCTGAGCCCGCTCGGGCTGGAGACCTTGACGCTGCGCTCGCTGCCGGTTCTTCGCGTAGCGCTTCCCCCCGCCGAGGTCGGGATCCTGGCCCACACGCGGTGCCAAGAGAAGCAAAAGGAGATCTGGGCTCGAGATCCGGCAGTTGGGGAAAGAACTCGCTTAAGTTTCGAGGAGGTTTCTCTTTGCTTCTTGGAAAACCCCTCCTCGTGCGGGTGTGGATGCGGAGGGCCATCCCTGGGGTCAGCGGCCGAAGGGAATTAAGGTGGCCCTCGAACACGAGCGGCCACGTCCCACCCCTGTGCACAGAAGGCTTTTATTCGTTTCCCTCATTCTCTGTGTTCCTTCGTTCAGTGCGTTGACTTATTTAACTTTTCTTTAACCACCAACTACGGCGTCTAGTAATTTTTCAAGATTGAAAAAAAAACCTGATTCTGCCTCCCCCCAAATAAAAAGCAGCCAGAAGAGAGAGCTTTGTTTCTCTATCATTTTTAAATGGAGCCACTTCACGCCCTCGCCCTCCGAAACCGAGCCGGGAGGCTGAAACGAAATGGCGAGCAGAATGTCACGATCTTTGGTGTGTGTAAAGGTGCCCGCGTGTTAAAAAAGGAGAGAAGCAAAAGCTCTGCTCGCCAGCCAAGTCTGGGCTCACCACGTTTCCATTTGTCGTTCCCGGTTTAAAAAAAAAAAAAAACAGAAAAATGGTCCAGGTAATATAAGGAATTGCAGATTTTCCCCTGAAAACAATAAAAAAGAAAATATCCCAAAGATTAAGATCCAGTAAAACACAAATTTGCACAAATGCTTTAAAGCGCAAGTCGAATTTGAAAGTTTATTGAGAAAAAGCAAAGAATTTTTTTGTAGTTCCTGCTTAAAAAAGACTTTGGCTGAGAAGCTCTTTTCTGACTTTTCCGGGACTGTGGTCCGCCATAGTTTTAACCTAACCACCTGGATGGTAGAAAGAAGGGATCCAGACCATTTTATGATTAGGCTAAGTCCCCCTGCAGTCATTTTCTTTTGGGTGTTTTAACGTGGAGACCTTTTTGAGACCCCCGCCCCCTTCCCAGTAGCAAAATGGCTTTGTGACGTGTATCAGAAAATTGAAGCGCTGGAAGAGCTCTTATTAGAGGGCATACTCTGAAGTCGCTTTGAACATCCTGTCAGGCTTGTTTCCTTAATAACTTACTGGTTGGCATCATAATAATAATCACATCCTCTAAGTTCACTTCAGGCAGAAGGATCACTTAATTGGCTACTTGAGAATATGGTGTGGAGCCCAGTGGAGCTGACGGGTGGCCGCCCCAAGGAGGGTGTGCAGGACAGCCAAAGGGCCTGTGCACCCACAGCTTCTGTCCTTATTTGATCTCTCTGTCTCTGTAACATACATCCCCAAGTGCTAAAAGCTGGATCAGGACCCTTTCCCTCTCGTTACCCATGCTTTTTGCATTGGGGGTACCGTACTTTGCTTTTATATTTCTTTGGGCCAATTAGACTCATTTTAATAGGTAGCCCCCAAATCTGCAAGGATTATTTCAGTTTGGTAAAATGATTTAATTAACAGCTCCCCCCCCCTTTTAAATCTCAGCTGTAGTTTAAGCCACGAATTTATCATAGCCATTCCAGTTTGAACTAAGACACTTTTTCATTGAAGAACGGTGGAATGCTCTTGAAGAATGGTGGCATGCTCTTATCTCCAAGTTTATAGCTGGGAAACTTGTGTTCCTAGAAATCTCACTTAATATTACAATATAACAACATTATTCCTATAGTTTTTGCTTTTATAACTCAATATTCTTGATTTGTCTAATGCATATCTTGTTTCCCCCTCCATGCAACACTTTTTTTTTGGCAGTTTATTTTTATTAAAAGCTTCTATAATTACAATTCTATTTAATTATGTTTAAAATGTCAGGAGGGCCCTCAGCATATTTTTGATTCATGCAAGATAATAGGAAAAATCTATCTAGGATTTATTTTATATTAAACTGCTTATGTATAAATGTATACGGCTCAACACTAGTTTTCACATACATTTTTTTCTTCATCTATTTATTAATCTTTGGAACCAGCCTGAGAGTGGGAGGATTAGAATTTAAAGGGAAAAATAGTCCTAATAATGATATTTTATGTCTTTCTGTATCACTTGCATTGAAAACTAGAACTTACTCCCCAGATAACACACAGGAATATCTCATCTGTCAACATAACACGAAAAGACTAAATTGAGTATCTTCTTTGTCCCCCAAAGCCAGCTCCAGAGTCAGAATATGTTGTATTTAGATTCCCCCCTTCCCCTATTTCTTGTATTTCTTCTAGATTTATTCAACATCCTGTGCTTTGCTTTGTCAAAACATGCATCTCTGTGTATGAAGTGTGATTTCTTACAAGGGTTGGGTAGCAAAAACAGCATAAATATAACATAGCCGTTATACCTTTAAATGCAGATATATCATCAGATTGCTATATAGTGGAAATGCTTAATTTTTAAGTTAATTTAAAAAATTTTCAAGCTCTAGAAATAGTCAGTGCTTCTGAAACATCGTAACATTTTCCTCCAAACCGACTTCATGTTGATTTTCCAGAACATTAGTGTATAATTTAAATTGGCTTTACTCTTGCCATTTAAACAGGTTTATTTCACTTTCCTCGAGCCACTGTAATAATTAGCAGACGTGATTTCTAGAAAATGGAAAGGAAATAATGCCGATGGCACGTATAGTGTCCGGTTGTTGGGCAGGTCGGCTTGTTTCCCTTTCAACATCAAGGTCGTCCTGGTTGCTACAGGGGCCAGGGATCTTGGGGTCATCAGAGGAATCTTTAAGAATGAATTTCAGGGAGTTCTGGTCAACTCTTTTTAGTGAAGAAAAGCTGAGAGTTAAATAATAGGCATTTCTGGTTTGAGAAAGAAAACTGAAAAATAGGCATGTCTGCAAATATCATGAAAAAAAGTACTGTTTCCAAAATAATAATCTGTCAGTGAAATTGCAGAATCATTATGTGAATGAGCTGAATTGCTTTGTGTATCAGCTCATAGAAATATGTTTTGCACAGATAATATGTCTAATAAGGACACGTTTTTAAAATCAGATTTTTTTTCCCCCCAGCAAATAGCTGCACTGCAGGTCTGGCTCCTGCAGTCAACTAGCACCACCTTATGGCGGATCTGGGGAAATTGCTGCTTTCCTCTTCAGGCTCTTCTAAACTGTAGGAAATTGATTTAAGATAATAGTAATGATGATGGTGACCACGGTATTAATGACAATAATAATTCTTCTTTCCCCTTCTTGTGTTTCAGGCATCAGACGCCAGCTCTGAAAAACTCTTCAATACCGTTATTGTAAACAAAGGTAAGACTCCTTAAATCTGAGCAATAGCTTATCTTTATATTTGTTTCATTGTCATTGCCTAGGACGGAAGCATGGAGAACAATGGTCATTCTCTTTTCATTCTGGAGCTGCTCTTCAGAATTTGTGTTTTTGCTTGAGATAGAATCTGTGCTTTTGTGATGCATCAAAAAGCAGTTTATTTTAAAAGAATACATCAAAGCCTTATTTAAGTTGATTTGACTAAGAAATTACTACTATCTATGTGACTTTCATTTAATGTAGGAAGCGGTAATGGAGAATAATAGTTCTCAAGATGCCTTAACTGTATTGTTACTTATCAACTACCCAGCAGTTGGAGAACTATAAATAGCTGATTTGTTCTTCAGACTCTAATAACCAGTGCATGTTTAGTATTCACAGTATTATGGTCATAAACCAAGCCTTACTCTGCTGTGGGCTTTCTGTGAAGTTAATAAACGAGCAAGAGGGCAAAATTTAAATACATGCTATCCCATTAATTTCTTCCAAACTGCAATATAGAGTAAGAGAGGCTAATGATATAGCAGTACATTAAGGGAAAACTTATCTTAAATCACTACCAATAGGTTTCTGGGCAGTGTTCATTTGCAACAGTATTGTTGGAAATAATGAAATTTAAGGGAGCTTCAAATCACAGGACTTTGTGAAGGTGTGTAATTTGAAGGGTATAAATTATACAGACGATTTGATCGCTTCCTCTTCACTGCAGAATCTGATTTAGGTGTTACCTGGTCATTGCTAAATACAGTGTGTGTGTTTCCTGTGGTGGTCTCCTTCTGCGTTAGATGGAAGATACTTGAACAGGGTTGGGCCTTCATGGAGTGAAATTTGAAACCACCTCGGCCATCTATAGCTGCCTTCGCTGGCATTTTTGCTAGCTGGTTAGTCAGACACATTTCCAAGTGCAGTTATTTTGAGCTCCCAGATTATTTTAGAATTTGAACCAACTGCAATTTTAAATAATACATTATGTTTAGAGTTCCCTTGAGGTGTCCATGCTGATGTGATTGCTGTTACTCCCAGAATTATTGTCATATTGAATTTTATCTTTTTTTTATTGCATAATGGAGTGTTCCAGTTTTATATTTCATCATATCTTTTGATGGACTGAAAGTTTGTATAAATTTGTTGTCCATAATGCTAAAAGCCCAATAAAAGAAGATATGTTGCAGTTTGTAGCATACAGGGCTCATATGTAAAAATGCGTAATTGGTTATTGCTGGGTTGGACGAGGGAAGAGGATTGGTAGACAGGGGTGTATCCAGGCGGGACAGGAGGAGGAGCCTGAGTCAGGACAGGTCACCAAAGGGAGGTCTTCTCTGTTTCAGTGACACCCCGCCCCCCCGCCCCCAGCCCGCCAGCCCCACGTGACTGTGTCTTTCCTGCTGTAGGGCTCTGGAATGCGTTTCCCCTCTTTGGGATCGGCCTCGCAGGAGAGCTGGCTCTGGGACCCGCTTTCAGGCCCCGCTGCCCCCGCGGGGCCAGCAGGCTCCCTTGGGGCGGATGAGGAGGGATTGACGACGCACGTCGTCCCTCTGCCTCTTCCCTCCCGCCCCCCATCCCACCCCGCTCCCCTTTCCAATCCAACATCTCCCACATTCTTATTTTGTTTACTTACAGAATGTGATTTGTGGTGTCTATTTGGTTGTGAATAGTCATCCTTCTGACAGGGTGCCTTTCTTCTGAGCTGCTTTTCTGGGGGTGACTTAGTTGCCTTGAAAGGATTAGGGTTTCTTTGTGTACACTAAAATCAACATAGGCTGTTTCTAAGCTTTGCTTGGGAAACCATACACAAATAAGCATTTTAGTTGATGGCAGATTATTCCTTTGCCCCTTATTTCCATCAAAATGGCCTTTCTTTTCTCCTCCTGAGTTTCCCCTTAATGCCTTATGCTAATTCCTGTTGGTAACATGAATGACAAGAGCCGGAATCAATGCAAATCCAGGTGCTGCAAAGTAGACGGGCTGGGATCCAGCACCCGCCCTCCTCCTTGGAGAGAAAGAGATTAAGGGGGGAGCAGGGGAGAGGGGAAGCATGGGGGCAGTGTTGTTAAGGGGATTAGTATTCAAACTGCTAAATATCAGGAAAACAAGTTCAAATAGAGAGTCATTGTAGGCGATAATGTCAATAATTGCTTCAAGACAGGTGCAGAGAGTCTCGGGTCTGTGCTTGTGGGCTCGGTCTGTTTTTACTCCGGGTAGTGGCAGTGTTTACTGGATGGATGGTTGACAGGGCCTTCAAGGAACTGTCAGCTTCACGCACATCAAGTTCAAGTTCTCCTGCAAAGCGGCCTGCCTGCCTGCAAGTCAGGTCTCCCGTCTCTGTCCGGTGTTCTTAGCCAAGAGCAATAAAAAGCCTGTAAGAAAGGGCAAATTTACACCAGGTAACAAACACCACTGGGAAAATCTTCAAAGCCTCGGCTTATTGAACAGTCTGACAAGAGTGCAGGGAAGCTGACACGTGTATTCCTCCACCTCCAGATGTTTAAAGCTACATATCACCTCTCCCTCACAGGAGCCCCACCGCGTTCTGGCCTTCCAGAAGTGTGGCTTTAAGCTGCTGGAGAGATTATGCTGCTGAGCCCGGTGGCAGGCAGATTTGGTCCATAAAATTTCACTGTGGGAGGGCAGCGCTAATCTCACAAGCTGATTGTGCTGGGGGGCTGCGGGGCGCAACTTTGATGTGGGCCCTGCGGTCTGGGGACGCAGCTCCGGCTGAAGCAGCAGGGGCCGTGGCTCAAGTCCCATCAGTCTGTTTGTGAGCTGGAATAAGTCGTTTCGCCTCTTTAGGTCAGAATTTTCAATCATAGCAAAACCTAGCCCTGGGCCAACGTCTCCAGTGGGGATAAAAACAATTAGTTGGTAAGAGGGAAGAGGCCAAAAATGTCGGTATAACGACCGTGTTTTATGTCCCTTCTGCCTGTTTGATTTTATCTTGACTCTCCCTTTGTTGGAGAGTCTGTCTGATTTAATAGAGAACCAGAAGTAGATTTTTGTGTTTAGGTGTTCCGAATCGCTGCTCTCTTCTGATGCCTTTTATTTCCCATTTTGAAACAAATTAATCAAACAGGGCGCTTCCTTGTACACACGACGTGCGCGGTGAGAACTGAGCATGTCGAAAGGGGTGGGGCGGTGAACCTCCAAATTTCAGGGCTTAGACATAAAAAATAGTTTAACTTTAATCAAGGTCATGGTTGCCTTATTTAATCTTTATGTGTTTAAATGTTTACAGGATGTTCATGTGAATTTTATGAATCCTTCTGTCTTTGTGACTCAACCATCTGCCAAAGGAAAAATTAATTTTCCCAGCGAGACAGAGGCACACAGAGAGACTAACTTCTTGTCCGTGCTTAATTGGTTGAACTGCTCTAGGAGCAATGGGATTTGTACCCCCAAATCCTGGACTATTTATCCTTAAAGGGAACTAACTCTTCAGTCAGTTCAGTGTGTCCAGCCAGTATTTATTAACCTTTCTTACCTGTTCTAGGTCCTACTTCTTGGGGTTTTGCCACTTTGATAAATGGGCAGAAATGCAGAAAATGAGTCTTTGGCGCACATGCCCATCCTGCCATGATCGTGAATCTCTTTTGAACTGTAGAGTTGCTCCAGGGCACAGCTACCTGCTGAGGAAGGAAAAGGGAAGCCCTGCTGTTCTCTGGGGCCCTCTGTGGACATGAGACCAGCCCTGGTGTGGGTTCACGGCCTCGGTGAGGGGTAGAGAAAAGGCCCTGAATTGCTTCTTTTCCAGGATCTGTCCTGCAACCAAGGCAAGTCACAGACGAGAGGTGGCCAGGAGGTGTGTTTCACCCCATCACTTTCTCACCCCTTCTCTTGCCTTTGCCTGTCTTTAGGCAGGGTCAGACCCTCCCTGGGAGAGGTGCCCCGAGCTAGCTGTTGGAGAGCGGTGCCTTTCTGAATAGCTGGGGTAGGGCATGGCCCATGTAGGGATGAGGCCACTGATTTGTGATTCCCTCCTGCTGTGAGCACCCAGTGCCCCCTGAAATGTGGACGTCAAGGGAACAATCACCCACCCTCCCAAGTAGACCCCCACCTCCCCTCCCGCAGGTCAGCCCTGGGGATTCTGGGGGGCACTCACTCACCATGATGAATACCAGACGGAACACTGGGGCCACCTTGAGCCCCTGCTGGCCAGGGCTGTTTGTGCTTTCCCAGGCCCTATCAGACCTGCTAGTGGACACACTAGTCCGCTTCTTGGGGTCGATTTTGTACTAAGAGTTTCCAGGGGACACAGATGAGGTTGGAGACTTTAGATTAGTAAGACCTTTAGGTATTTTTGACAGTATGGTTTTATCAGCAGCATAGAAAGAAAACCTGGCTAAAATATTGGTTGAGATTCGAAATGAGGTGAGAAAAAAGTTACTACAGATACTGCTTGGTGTGATGAGGTTCAGTAACTGAGAACCCAATAAAATCTTTCATGGTGATGATCTCACTTCATCCATCAGGTTTAGACACGAAGGGGGAATTTCTTGGTTTTAAAAGTAAGAGTTATGTTAGCACCAAGGCCCTTCCCCTAAGATAATTCTGTGCTTTCTATGTAAGTGACAATAATGCAGTTGAATGTGGAATAGCTTTCTTAAAAACAAAAGGATTTAGAGTTTAAAATCCAATTATAATAAACATATGGAGACATTTTACAGTTCCTTGTAATGGTCTTGGGTTGAGTTGTAAGGAGAGCACGACATAAAGCTCACTCCCCATGTGCAGAAGCTCAGCCTCTGTAAATTAGTTGCATTTTTGTACTGTGTTAAATCCCACATAAGGGAAAGTTAGACTGTCACTCATTCTTTATTTTTCTTTCCGTGGACTTTTTTTTTTTTTTTTTTGTAGTTCAGAGCGTTTTCTTGGGTCTTTAGAAGACAGAGATGTCTGATATGTGGAAAATTAAATACTATTGAAGGGTAATTGGTGCTTGATTGGAGACAAAGGAGATATGAGTGGTTGGGTTTCCCCTCCTACCC